TTTGGAGTGACTAGGTAACAATTTCCACACAGAAATTCTTTGTTATTTTTATTTGGGGAATCCTCAAGAAAACTTTACTTAATAGGAAGAATTGGAAGATAAAGACTGCTTCGGAATTTTACTGAGATTTTCACCCTAGATATAGAATGTACTCACATTTTGCAAGTAAATTTTGTATCTAATTTTGAAAATATTTAACTTTTATTTACCGTATATCCAGAGTAATATTTACATATTATTTGATCTACTTTACAGCACCATTCTACTATGAATTTGTTGCATTTTAATGAGCTGCTTTTTGTCATACAATTGTTTTAACATGAAATTCTTACACATACAATCTGGTGGACATAACAAAATATCAGTCAGTGCTAGCAACAGTACTACAGACCTTCATTTTAAATACTTAGACTAAAACATTTTTAGATAGGGCATTTGACTAAGGATATTTGTCTTTAAGTACAAATGTGTAATTCAGCTGGCCTGCAATGCTTATTTGGGAGGAACGCATGATTAACTTTTTGGTTTTTGGCTTATTTTGATAATTTCAGGTTTTCATTATGTAAAGAGAAAAAAGCAAGAACATTGATCAAGTCTGAGTTAATTATGTGAATCCGTTAAAAGTCTATGAGGATCATATTTTCATAGAAATGTTTTATCATGAAAAACAAAATCAGGAAAAGTTGGAACGATAATCCTGCGAGAATGGAATCCATATCACCATGTGTATAAACTCGTAACCCCTCCATGGTGGTGACACTATGTGCATGGGTTGAAGACTCTACAATATGTTAATTATGATGATGGTTAATGTGATTTTTGTTTTCTGAGACACTGATTCCTCTCCTTAAAATGCAGTGAGGCTGCCTATCATGTTAGGGAAGTGCAAGAGCATGGCTATGGTCAGAGGCCTCACTCCTGAGACACAATAGATATGAGGTAAGGGTCCCCACTCTGAATTAGAGGAAGATTTGGTGCTATACAAATACAACTGACATGAATAACAAGGGTCTGAAATGTTGATGTACGTTGATTAATATTGTGTTTCAATATACATAGTAGTTCTATTTATGTAACACTGGTCCTTAATATACAGTATATAAGTAATACTTATCAATGATCATTCTGAAGGTGAGAGAAGAAAAAGGATATATAATAAAGAGCAGCCCTGGTGGTTTAAAAACCCACTGGCTTGCTCCGACGAAAGAAGACAGAAGAATCGTTGTGTTGTGATTTTATTTTCCTAATCAGACTGTTTTGACTCAATTGTTATACTAGATCCAAGAAATATGTCTCATTTGTACTTGTTATGTTTGTTATGTTATCATGTATTATTTGAATAACATCTTGAAAATAAGCAGAAGGACTAAATGGTTGCCGCAGAGCCCTCAAATTGGCCGAGAGATGTTTGCCTGGGACAGCCCCCTTTACAGAGGGGGTTCAAATTAATTGCTTGATGCTTGAGACTATTTCCATAGTTGAATTTGTTTTACACATTGTATTGTAGAGCTTTTTTCATTACTATGGCGAGCAGATGTCCCACAGGTTTTATTGTGATAGTAGGGTTGTGTTTATGATGATTGAAAAGGGGGCAACTGTTGAGGAATTTTAGTATATCCTCACACATTACTCTATAAGCCACTATTATTATGCCATTATGTACATATAGTGTATATTACAATATATCTGTACACCATTTAGAGAAGAGTGCCTGGCTAATTCCACAGATTCCCTTCTCTCTCTAAGCAGTACACAAGGTCAGGTTATAGATAAAGGACCAACCATCAGTGCATTGTAGTGTCTATGCTTAGGGACTTTCATATCTAACTCAGATGCCCCAGACAGAGAGGCACCAACTTCAACTCTAGAAATTTGGGTGGCATTGCCCACTACTGCCCATTTTTTTAGACCTGGCCCAGTAAAGAGGGAATGTCATCTTTCTGGATAGGAAACAGAGGTAGTTGAAACATATTGAGCACTCAAATGCTGACATAACTGTAGCTGTGTTTGAAAGGGAGTTGTGGGCATACTTCACCCAAGGGAGATGTGTGCTCCAGGATGCTGGGATCTTGTATGCCACACATCAGAGTGCCGCCTCAAGGTTCTGGTTCACCTGCTTCAGATGACCAGTAGTGTGTGGGCTGTAACCAGGAGACACACTCACTGATGCTCCTAGGGCCCTGCAGAAAGCCTTCTAGAAAAATTAACTAGGGACCCCCTGTCCAATGGGATGCCATGGAGACAGAAGACATGATGCACCATGTCTCTCAAGCTGAGGGGAGTTTAGTAACAGCCACGAAGTGAACAGCTTTATTGAACCGATTGACAAGGGTAAGAATGGTGGTGTTACCTTGTGACAAAGGGAGTCCAGTACAAAAACCAACGTGATGTGGGACTATGGCCACCCAGGTACAAGTAGTGGGTGGAGGAGGCTGGCAGTTGATGTGGGGTCTTGGAGTGTGCGCAGACAGAGCAAGGCAGGACAAAGGCATGGGTGTCTGAGATGATAAACGGCCACCAGAAATGTCGCCTAAGGGGGATGAGGGTCCGATTTGTCAAGGTATCCAAGGTAATCCAAGCAATACCCTAGGTCAGTTTATATATAAAGGGCCAACTAGCAGTACATTGCAGTGTCTATGCTCAGGGACTCATATCTAATTCAGATGCCTCAGTCAAAGAGACATCACGTCGAACTCTTCTGCATATTACACCAGTTGCAAGACGTAAAGATACAATGTGAGTTAAGTAGGCATGCTTTAGGCTTAACTATCTAATAGGATGCAAACACCTTTATGTAACATAGAGAGTGACAATAATTCTAGTCGTGAATTTGCTGTTGGAATGGGTGATGTAGGGTGAGGAAGACTAGGAAGTGACAATTGTTCATGTTACTCTGTTGTGACCATTTGTGGAGGTGGTTTGGAGAACACCTCCAGCTGAACAAGGGAGAGTTAATTCGCACAGTTGAGGCTAGTTGGCCAATTACTCTCCTTGGATTATAAAGCTGCCACGATGGATAGAAAGACATGAAGGAGAAAGAGACTGCATGGAGCTGAGCTGAGCTGCCAAGATGCCAGCGGAGGCTGCTGGACAACTTATGTTTAGGCTTTGTTTGAATTTATGTTTGCTACAGTTAACAATAAAAGGATCTTTAACACATGCAGTCAAAACTCAAGACAGGACATGGTGTTGGATATTATACAAATAAAAATCTGAATAAAGAGGGCACAAACAGAAATTAAAATCATGTGTATTCCTGCATACGTTGGTGTGGAAATGAGCTGGCAGACAAACATGCAAATGGAGCAACAAGGAAAATAGAAATAAGTATGGTTATTGAATAAATAATAAATAAAGCAAGGAAGAAGTAAAAAGTTGTCACAGTCAGTCTCCCATCCTCCCACTTCTTAGTACTTTTCCATGGTCTCCGCCTCTGCTTCATCGGCCCGCCGAGCCACACCCTCTGACCAACCCAAAACAGCTGCTCCTCATCACCTGCAATCAGCCCGGTATATATTCACCAGCTCCACTCTCAGTCAGTTGCCAGATTGTTCAACGCCTTCATGCAAGACTATCCAGCACTCATCTCCGGACTGATTCTCTGTTGCCGACCCTGCCTGTCTCTGACTAACCTGCCTCGTCTGAAACCTGGTAATCACCTCTGCCTTCCGTCCTCGACCAAGTCTTTTGCCTTTTTGCTTTTTGTATTGCCTGCCACCTGATCTGCTGTGAGAATAAAGACTGTTCCCAACTGTCAAATGCTTGTTGTGCTACATTTGGGTTCAAACCATACTCGTTACAAAAGTAAACAATTCAGACATGAAAAAGACATGGCGAGAACAGTGGGACTAAGGAAGTCAGGGCAGACAGTAACATTGCAGGGTAGGAGAAATGAGAGGAAGGAACCTAATGAAAGGGGACATACTGTATTTAGAATGAGGTTTGGGCACACTGGACACTTTGTAATCTGTGAATTTGTATTAGACTTTAAACAAAACCTACATCCCCTTTTTTATGTCTGTCAAGGTCAATATTACCAGTTTTAAAAAGCATGAAGAAAGAATCACT